TAATAATAATAATAATAATAATAATAATAATAATAATAATAATAATAATAATAATAATAATAATATATAATAAAAATATTTTATTTTATTTATATATATAATAATAATTAATTAATAGAATTCTTAATTTTTTAAATACCGAATAAAAATATTTTATATATATAATTTTTTTATTTTTATAAAATATTTTTCTCAAGTTAAGCTTAAGTCGAGCCGAGCTTGAACTTACGAGCTTTTGACTCGAGTCTTGTACTGCCTTGGTGAGCTAAGCTCAAATAGCTAGCTATTCGGCTGGAGGCGAAGAAGAAACCACCACCGGCGGCTATCTCCATGTATGAACCCAAACTGCATCTTCCTCTCCAGGACTCCGAAAAGGTACTTTTGGAACACCAATAGGCATTAAATAAAATAAAAAGGAGTTAAGTRCTATACTTCACTTTGATGTGGAAACGTAACAATGGGTTTATTGTCTTCATAATATTGCTATTTATCRTATTTTATCCATAGATTGGAAAGTTCATAGAGGGAGATAGAATGAATAAAGGAGATAGCCGCTACAATAGTGTTTCCCTCTTCTTACATCTCTCTCATCTCTCTTAAGTCCCAGATCATTTACTTCATTGGTGTATATTAGATTTTAATAGAAGATTGGTGTTTAATCTCTCATCTCTTGCCTTCAACTTTTTGATTTTTTTCATTAGAATTGCAATTCTTTTGTTGTTACAACTTAAAAAGAATCAAAGAAATGAAAAAAAAAACTCAAAATCAAAATGGAAAAACTAAAAACCCTAACTAATTTTGGACATTGTGAATAATCGAACAAGACTATGAGATATGAAAGCTTATTTTTTCAAATTTTTTCTAATTTCTATTTTAAAACAGATAACAAATTTGGAATTAGTTTGAAAGCAGCTTGAGAACCATTAACTAGGTCGAACATTTTAATGGTTAAATTGGTTGGGTCAGTGGTTCTCTAACAATTTTAACGGTTCTTTGTAAAATAACAGCCAGGGCCAAAATGGAACCTATGACTTGACCGGTTCTTGGGCCAAACGGTTCAACCATCCATTCTAGTCCGGTTTATATAGTAACTAAAATACTCATTTTTGAATTTAGTCCTTATTTAATTGTAAGGTTTAAATTATAAATTGAACTACTACTTTCCACCTCATTCAATTCCTTCTATTTAAATCTTACATTTTTTAATAAATGAACAAAAAAGATACACCAAAAAGATAAAACACTACAAAAAAAAGAGTCTAGCCAAGCAAGTAGGACTGTCAAAGAGACTTGAAAAAAAATAAAAAATACATAAAATTTATAAAAGATTATGGATATATTATTATTATAATTATCATCATCTAGCTAGAATTGCCACATACAAAACACATGCATACTTACTATATATATATATATATATTATTCATAATAGAGATGTGTGGCTCCAATTCACAGCGGGTAGAGAATAGGTAGGAAAAGTGAGTAGGAAATCCCGAGTGGTGAGATCTCTATCAAGAATTCACATCCTCTACCTTATCTGACAGAAAAATTTATGTCCCTATCAATAGAAAGAAGCCATGCCATTTACTGTAGTTTCATGTACAATTCTTCATTGCATGGCAGGACACATATTCATATTTTTGTCTATTTTTCTTACATATTCGACACTTGTCCATACATATCTTTCTCCCTCCCCTATAATCACTTCCCTCTCTTCCTTCTTCCTAGGGGTGAGCATTCGGTTTATTCGATTAAAAACCAAACCGAATAAATCGAAATTTTAAAAACCGAACTAAAAAAATAAAAACTGAAACCGAAATTTAGAAAAACCAAAATAACCAAAACCGAGATTTTCAGTTCGGTTTTCGGTTATTTCGATTAAAACCGAATTTTAATAATATATACTTTATTATATATATTATAATGTGTATTATATATTATATATTATAAAATATATATTATGAAATCGAATTTCAGTATATTATATATTAATATATAAATATATTATATATTACATATTACATATTTTTTTTATCAGAAACGATTTCATTAGAGATAAATTAACCTGAAATACAGAATTCAACCCTTATTAGAAAAGGTTGATCCAATAAACATCAAACATTACAGCACTACCAAAAAAAGACTCTCCCTTGCAGTCCCTTGTTATGCTAAGAATTTCCCTTATTAGCTGTCTATATTGCCAAATTCCTAGCTGCCYTGATTGCATCCACCCAATTACCAACTTGGAGTCTCCCTCTATCTCAATCTGTTGTAGCCCCAACTATTTGGCCAGTTTTACACCTTGATGTAGTGCCAAGATTTCCGCTCTTAAGGAATCTCCAATTCTTATTGGACCTGAAAACAAAGCCATTATCTTGCCTTCATTATCTCTGAAAACACCTCCTATACCAGATGGGCCCGGATTACCTATAGAGCTTCCATCAAAGTTCAGTTTCACCCTTTGTTGTGTCGGTGGGGGCCAAACTTCCTGTATCATAGCTTTGGAAGTAGTAGTAGATGTCACAATACCCCAACTTCTATAAATGTCTTCAACTGAGAAATCCTTAAAATGATCACAGGATTTCAACCAATTGATAACCTTAGTAGTTATTCCTTCTACAACCTCTTCCTTGGATCTACATCTGCCTTTAAAGATCCTATTATTTCTTTCCTCCCACATTGACCACAATACAGCAGCTCTAGAGGCTCTCCACATAATCCTTCCATGAACCGTTGGTTGCATGTAAAAAGTTGGATCAAAGAGGTTCACCACGCTTGAGGAGGGAGTCCACCTGTAGCCAAAGAGAGAAGAGAACCAAGACCAAATAAAGAACACAAAGGGACGTGAGATTAATAAATGTGAAATTGTCTCACTAGAACCCAAACAGAGGCAACAAACATGGGGGGAAAGGCACATATTTAACCTCTTTTTCTGCAATAAATCCAAGGTGTTGATTTTTGGGAGTACCACTTCCCAACAAAAGGCCTGAATTTTAGGGGGTACAAGGCTACCCCACACCTCCTTTGAAGGAAAGTTCCCTACAAGGTTAGAGGTCTGAAGCAAAATGTTATATTACATATTACATATTATATATTATATATTATATATTATATATAATAATAAAAAGTTTGGTTAATTCGGTTAGTGAAAATTCTAATTCCAAAAACCAAAATAACCGAACCGATTTAACCAAAAACCAAAAAAACCGAAATCAAAATTTTCGGTTCGATTATTCGGTTTTAACCGAATTATGCTCACCCCTACTTCTTCCCACTTTTCGTCTATCATCTGCCTCTCTCCATCTCTTCCTCCC